TGTTTAACTCGTCTCTTGTAGGTTCAGCTATTTGTGTGGTGTGCTCTATCCTCCTCAAACTCCATATCTTCGTGTATATCATTGTCATCTAGGAATTCATCTTCCAAACTTATGTTCAGGTCCATTCCATGTTGGTCACTAAAGGCATTTTGATTGTTGGGTGGTTGGGGAACATCATCATTCTCATCACTGCACACTGTAGGGGTGTTCAAGTCTGGTAAGCAAGATTGCATGTTCTCTATTTCTGCTTCATCCTAACAGAGCCTGTTAGAATCACCTAAAATGGCCGCATCTTCATTTTGTGAACCTGGGTGAATGTTTTAGTTTACAATCTCATCCATTTCATCTTCCAAACATGGTAAGAGGTTTAAATCTATTGACTCTCGTTTGTGGTCTTTCATGAGATCAAGTGTGGAATTTTCATGCTTTCTTTTGGTTTACCTTTTATAAATGTAATACATTTTGGTGATTTTTAAAATATTCCTTTACCCGCCTCTTTTTTCCAAAATTTTTACACTCAAATGGCACTCAATCTGATTTTCAGGGAAACAAAAAGAGGAGGAAGGAGTTTTTTATGTTGGTATGATTGTTATCCTTTGGAAATTTTCAAACTCCAATCTGTTAGGCATGTTGGGAAGAATGAAAGATGAGTGAGAGAATCATGATGCTATAAATCTATATATCTTAAAGATGTATGATCTAAAAAGTACGTGCTCAAGCCGTTTGCCTAAGTCGGCTTCTCTAATAAATATACTGTTCATATAAACAGTTCCAGCTTCATTGGGCTTCGTGCATGGGCATCTATTTCTTATGCCAGTGTGATTGTTTTTTCATCTCCCTTTTCTCAACGCATGGGTGAATCATGAGTTGCTGCTTCCTCTTCTTGAAATCCTATTGTACAAGTAGGAAGGCTATCAACAGGTTGGGTGTCCCACGCCCATATAATATATAGCACTACCTTCTCCCACATCTTATTTCTTAGCATTTTGTCATTCGTATTTATCTCCTGTCTCATATTCATGGCTTTTGAGCTTCACAGGCTCGATGAATTGGCACCTTCTGTGGAGACCTGGAAAGTTGTGGTGAAGGTCGACAGGGTGTTCACTAGGACTGAGTATGATGTTACTGAGAAGGACTTGGGATATCCGAAGAAGCTAATCTCTCTAGATATGATAGTGTTTGACGAACAGGTATTGCATCTATGGTAATAAGTCCATGTATTTTACTACTCCACGTATGTGCACATCTTTGTTCATCCCATTTATATTATTTTGCTGCAGCAAATAGGATGCTTCTCAGGATCGATGGGGATGAGCTAATAGATCACTTTTGTAACCTCATCATCGAGGGACATGTTTACTTGATTCAATACTTCTCTGTTGGTCTTGGTGGTGGGGGTATCCATTCGAAACATCATATAGTTGTCCTTTATAACACATTAGTGCAGGAGCGAAATTTCATATTCCCTCTCCATTGTTTCAAGATCTGGTTTGTGGAGGCCATACGTAGGGATTCATCTCCTGGTTGCAAAGTGAGAGGTATGACATCTTCTGATATGGAACATTTCATGTGATGTATAATCACATTTTACTCCTAAGCAACTGATTATATGTCCATCATGATTCAGATGTGTTTGGACTGTTAGTCAGCATCGAGAAGATTTAATACGCTAGAGTCAGGGGCGTGCTAACACGTGTTATGACATTTGTCATAAGAGACCCTCAGTGAGTTAAAATCATGTGAATTCCTATGCATCAATTTTAACCATTATGGGATTTTACCCTTCTATTTCTGTTTTGGTTAAATCAGGGGAGATATGGTACGGTGTGTTCTTTTCGGTGACTCTGCTAATGAGGCATGGAAGAGTTATCTGCCTTTGAAAAGAATGCATAAACTTGTCACTCTGATCAACTATGCAGTGGTGAATAGGCAGCACGGTATGATGAAAGACCACATGTTCCTTTAGCTCATACAGTTTAATATAATGACTTCATGCCACTCATTATTCTCCTCATCTCATCTTCCATCCTGCAGGGAAGTTTTGCCTCAAGAACTATGTGAATGCAACAAAGGTTTTCTGAACCCAACCTTCACCGAGATAATGCCGCGTAGGAGAGCTTTGCTGTTGGGTGTTATAGCTTGATTTCCTGACTGGCTTGATGGTTTAATGGAGTCTGACAGCTAGTGCTATTTTGTTAGACAGAAGGCGATGGTCAAGCTACTGTGGAATGTGTCTATGGATATTTGTATTTTGGGCATTGGGCTATTGTTCATTAGTAGTAGCAGTAGTATGGAATTTGGACTATTGTCGATTTATCTCTTGTAGCATATTTTGAGTTCCCATTGCCGTGTATCTTCAACACTGTATTTACTACGATCAAAGTTTGTATGTTGAACCAGCAAAATTTGAATATAATATCCTTTACTTATCCCATGAATATTTACAGTCCAGACGATTTTGAACCTGATAAACTACTGGTAGTGGAATAAGGTCTTCTAGCATTTCATCCTCATTTTATGTGTCAGTTCAAACACATTTGATAACTGGATATTGACAAAGAAACCAATCAAATTTTATCTGAGATGCCAACATATTGCTGTAGATTTTCTTTCAGATATTGTAGCACATGTATTAATCATGTTGGATTCAGAATAATAAATCAATTATGAAAGGTAATATTAGATATAAACAAAAAAAAAAAAAAATTTGTTTTGATTTATGTTAAAGTTCATACCAATCAACTTGTTGCAAGAGTCTCCCGTATTTAAAAAAAGTCATAAATGCATTTTCTACTAATCCAATCTCTTGATAAAATGTTTGAGTGTACAAGTTATATTGATTTGATTGTTGGTGAAACACTTTAGTACTTTTTCTGACAAGTTGGTCAGCATATATAAGGGGTATGGCAACCATTTGAAAATGTAGTATTCAGTGAACAACTCCGTCAATACTTAAAACCCACGCTAAAACCTGCTTTGCAAGTCAGAAATGAAATGACCTGGTGTCATTGCCATATCAATCTCAAGTCCCCATGAACCTGACCCCGAATAGTGCATGTAGTGGTATGCTTTTAGAAGAGGTTACGAGATGAATTTTCCAACCTTCAGTCAACCCATTCTGACCCATTTTTCTTCAACTATGCTGTGTGTGTGTATGTGAGAAAAAAATTATATTTAAGTCATTCAGTCTATTGATTTAATATGCATGACGTGTAGAGATGTGAGGTGAACATTTTGAGCATTTACTTTAATTTTGCAATGTTTGTCAATAATAAACTATGGTTAGTTGTGCATGATTCAAGACATTCATAGGCCATTCTTCAATTTGATTTAGAAGGTTAATATATTGTGATAGTGCAGGACAGATGATCCTATAAATTGAAGGGCCATAGATGATGGGATTTTGCTGATCTTTACCAGCGTTGTCTCATTAATGCTTGTCTCAATGGCCTTCACGCTATGTTATGATTCAGCACAGCTAATACATACAGAGTGGGCGATTTGCTGATCTGCCGCATATCAGTATCCATCATGAGGATTTATTCTTGGTTTGTATCAATAGACAAGCAATCTTTTTTCACGCTGCTAGAGCTTGGATTAATCTATTCCAATCCTGAGACGGCTCACGGGGCTCCATGTGATATTTTGTGTGCCATAAAGATATGATGTAGCCTTTTATCACAGCATATCCCAAAGGCGTATCCAAATCTTAATGGTTAATAGTAGATCTTCTTATGCATATACCGTAGCTTTAGTCCCTACTTCTCCTTCTTATTTGCTGGATCTATCCCTTAGTGTTTTTTATGGCCTCTACTGTAATGGTGATAACCTCTTGCTGTCCATTTAAGCAACAGATCATCTCAGTAGGAGATATTGTAGCTTGTCTGTCACAGCAGTTCTAATACTTCTCTTCCCAATGTTGTATCAAATTTCAATGCTTAATAGTAGATAATCTCGCACATATATGTAGCATTAGTCCCTACTTTTGCCCCTTATTTGTTATATCTACGCCTTAGTGCTTTTTCGATGGCCTCTACTGTAAAGGTAGTAACCTCTTGCTGTCCGTGTAAGCAGCAAATCATCTCAGTAGGAGATTTGGTTCCATACATCTTTTTTTCTGATTACATATTCTGCAATAGAAGAAACACAAGCTCATGTACAACATGTTGCCATAAAATCATTTTATACAAAAAACTCAGGTACACTAAAAATCAGACAAGAAATTAGAATTAGGAATTAAGAGTGTATTGCATAAATTCCACTCAGTCACCCAAACAAATTAGAAAAAACCTCACGTCTCAACAAAGGTCATCCGTACATATCTGACACATACATCCATAGGCTGCAATATTCAGCATGTAAATGTCAGTTCAGCCGAATTTTTATGATGGCTTATTTCTAGTCCATTTCAAACATAATAATTAAGTAGCCACTCTCAGTTGAGGACCTCAAATCTCAACTCGATGGAAGTTTAGCTTCCACTCTTACCGATTTACAGCTTTCTTTCCCTATAAAGTTAGATATGTGCTATTGGCTTCACACACTCCTGCATAAGCCTACTTTTTTTCATAAGTTAGCAACTTAAGTTATTTGTTGTGGTCCCAAAAATGGCTGCCAAGAAGTGCTCTTGCTGAAGGAAGTCAATGACTCAACTGACAGATGGAGAATTACAGTTCGTGTGATCAGGAGGTGGAATGTCTACAAGAAGGAGTCTCCTACTGAGGTTTTTTATGTGTCCATGCTACTGATAGACGAAGAGGTTAGAATGCTTTATATCCCTTTACCTAAATAATTTTCCCTCTGTCAATATGCACACACTACTTACCTTATTTCCTTTTCTTGTGTTGGCAACAAATAGGGGACAAGAATCCAAGCTTCTATCATGAACAAAAACCTATTTGATCGTTTTAGTGCCATGGCAGTGGAAGGGATAACTTATTTTATGGCTAATTTCGTCGTCTCTCCAAATAATAAGGAGTACAGGGCAACAAACCATGCTTTCAAACTGACACTAGGTACTTACACATATGTGAAGGAAGTACTTGCCCAAATACCTGAATACTCTTATCATTTCTTCCCTATTCATGACATAATTAAGATGAAGGAGAGCAACCATGTTGACTATCTTATTGGTAAGTGTAATATTAAGTTCAGGTTTTCCTCCTTTATGAGTTCGACTATTGTTCCCCACTACTTAGTCATCCTGGTTTACTATTATATTCCTCTGTTAGATGTCATTGGATTCGTTGCATCAATTGGGCATCTAGAGGAGTACAAGTCTAACAATGAGATCAAGAACAAATTGCGATTGTTGCTGGTAGATGAGCTGTGAGTATCTTACATAAATGGTGTTTCATTTTTGGTAAACCTTAGTAAACTTATCTGTAAATGATTATTTCTTTCAGTGGCAATACTGTGGGTTGCGTTCTTTATGATGACTGTGCAACCAATGTCTGCATGATGGATATTAGCACCATGCAATCTCCTGTTGTGATGATTATGCAGCTTGGAAGGATTGGATTTGATGATGATGGTGATTCATCAGTACTCATTTTGGATATTCTTTTGTGTAGTTCGTCCTCAGTAACTGTTATGTTTTATACTTGCCATTTTCCTTCAGGTATGGCTGAGATTTGCAGCTCATACCATGCCACCCAGATTTCATGCAATCCAAAGTTTCCAGAAGTCAAGCATTTTATCGATAGGTATAGTGCATTGGCATGTCCCACACCAATGTTGACCATTCTCATATGTCATTTTATTCCCATAAACCATAACTTATTAATTATTGATCCGTATCATTGGAGCAGTGCTACCACATTACCCTCTCCTACTATCAGCACAATCTCTCATATTGCTACTACACCATCAAATGATCAGTCTGCAACTAGCCTGCTCCGTAACCATCCTTTGATTTTTGTTGCAGACATATGCAATCAGCCAGCTGTAAGTATTTTCAGACTTCATTATTTTTAGTAATTTCTTAACCTGTGATATGGTAGATTACTGGTCTGATCACTGTAAATGTTTGATAGGATTCGTTCTTCCTCATAAAGTGCTTAGTAGTCAAAGTTGACACGAGGCATGGCTGGTGCTATGAAGGTTGCTCCAGGTGTGGCAGCAAACCAAGGAGTGTGAGTGGGAAAAAAACATGCATTAATTGCAAGAAAGGACATGTGACTTTTGAACCCAAGTACAACTTTAACTCACCTCATCTTCAGAAATCTTTTATGGGTGCGAGCTTCGCTTAATTAAGGTTAATAATGAGTACTATTTATAGGTTAAGGGTCCACTACACGGTTGAGGATTCATCTGGCAAGGCAACTGTAGTCTTCTTTGACAAACTTGCTTCTAATTTCTTCCAAAAGACTGCACTTGAGATGAATCACACTCTTATTAAGGTAATGGATTATTTCTGTTGATCATGTATAGTGTAGTCATGGCTTTGCGTCACTTAAAAATTAAAAATGTGTATTATGCTTCTTAAGGAGGAACGTGAATATGATTTTCCTGATGAGCTAGACCTAATGGTTGGAAAGACGGTGCTGTTGAAACTTAAGCTGAACAAGTATAACGTTGACTTCCCAAATTCTGGCATATCTGTTGCATCATTCACACAGTGCACTGATTTGATGGATGAATTCAATGAGGCAAGACACTATTATATTGAAGTTCCAATTTAAGGGCTTTGTTTGTTTTTCAACTTTCAATTTCAACTTACAGTTTTTTTGGAAAAAAATGTTCCTGCCATGTACAGGTTAGCGATCAGAACACCCATGCTGAAGAAGAGGTACTTAGATATAAACATGTTGCTAAAGTTTTAATTCCCTAACATTTGGAGATAATGTGTTGTTTGTTTCCTCAATGTTTATAGGCCACTGACACAGTCGTTCCTGAATCTGTCACTGCTGACCCACTAGTATTGAATGAAGTTACTAATGTTGCCATCGACGAGAATGATGAAGACAGCCCCGGCATTGAGGAGATACCTCTGTCTAGGATAGCTGGCCCCTCAACTTACAGGCCAAAGAGGAAGGTAGCTGGGAAGAGGATCATTGGAGTTAAGGAGAAATGGGTTCGTTCACCCAATGCCTCACCTATCAAGACATCGTCCAAGCCTTTAAAGAGCATCAAGCAAGAGAAGAACTGAAGAATTTTAGTGTTATTGCCATGTCTTGTCATTGTCATCTTTTGGATTAGTCCTTATGAGACCATGTCAGCTGGTTTCTGGTTTCTTCATTAGGAATGTAGGATCTTCTATGTGGCTACGTAGTTGATTGTCTTTTAATTTATGCAATGTCTTTTTGTGTGTCACTTGGCTTCATGGACCTGTGACTAAACGTATGTTATCTGTGTTATTTGAATGGCATGGCTATCTTAAGTATTAATATTGATGGTTCTATTTCAAACAAAATTCAACTGGGAATGATGCTGAGGCTTAAGCTTCAATTCTGGCTTTAATAAATACCTGTTATCAGTAGTTGGTAGTAATATGTTAAACTGAAATTCGATAATGACATATCAAACATCACTTGGAGTTTAACATTTACTGTAGTTGGTGCAACAATTGACTCAGATGGGCCTAGAATAAATACAACCCCAACAATAAACAGTAATAATTAACAGAGTGGTATAAAATTGCGCCACTTGACACTTGCAATTCCTCCAATCTTGGCTGAGATTATTTTTGCCCCAAAATGAGGTTGTCCGTGTTGCATGGCCTGACATGCCTTTTTTTGTTCCCACAACTGAATAAAGCCCGATGGTTGTTTTTAATTGGCCATTCTCAAGCCCAAACCTTTAGGAATAAAAGATGCAAATGAGGTTGGCAGAGTTGCATGTGTGGATTTTGCTGCATTAGGTGTTTCTTGCAGACGTGTATTTTTTTGCTCATTTGTAGCTTTTTTTTTTTATTGGTCATAGAATTAGCTAAAATGTAGTCAATGCTTCATATGAAATGGGCCCATGATTCTTCGAATTGATAACATATCAATGACCTTAAGTTACTATCTTAATGCAGCTCCTTAAATATTTATTACTTAAAGACATAGCTCAACCCACAAAAGTTGCTGGTTACTTTTTTTCCAGCTGTAAACATTGAGCAGTGCAATGATTTGACTGAATCCATTTATCAATGCCAATATAGCCTACACTGGTGCAGACTTATTTGCTCTACAAATAGTAGGGATTCATTGCTACCGATAGTTGGCTTGATTTTTATGACTTATTTTCTTTGTTCATTACGAATTGCATGAAGTCTTCTCTGTTAACCATTACTAAAAGTGCAGAGTAAAGTATATCCATAGCAAATCTAAATACTGCAAAACACATGAAGAGGAAACCTTCATACATTCCACATGAGACTTTTGCCTTTCTTGAGAACAGTCCACGACAAATCACCAGACCAAGAAATCATTCAGGGACCACATACGCAAATTTTCCAAAAAGGAATGCAGGTATGGTCAAAATGCTGTCTCGTGGTTATGTTCATGTACTGGGCATCCTTTGTAAATTTGTAGTGAATGATTGAATCATTGTGCTATTATAGATTGTCCAGTGTACTTAGGAAATGCTAATGGCAGACCAGAGATGTACACTCAGGAAAATGATGTTCTGCAAAGAAATACAAACCCATCGAATAGGTGCAAGCCAAGAAGACCTGCACTTAAGGACATTTCAAATGTTGCAACAAATTTGGAAACTGAATTCCAGAACTATACTAGGCCTGGTAAATCATTATCAAGTTCATAAGTTTTTTCTGCTACGATTATATCTCATGCATTCTTCTACTACTAAGGCTATCTAATTATGCTTCCTATTGTACCAGGAGAACTTGAGTTCAGGAACAGTGTAGTTAGGCGAAGAAGCAGTAGATTAGTAGCATTTTAGAATCTCAATCAACGTAATGAAGGCCCTGTACTAACAGAGGATACTGTAGGTAATAGATTATCAGCATTTTAAATATCTATCAGTGATTTCTAAATAAAAAATTATGACTGTTACCATCCCTGATTTTCATTAACCTTAGGAGCTTCTGTGATATGTGTTGTCCATGCAGAAGTATAGCATTATGAAATATGCACCTATCAATTCTATCTATACAGGACTGCATATTAGATTGTTGTCTTTCTTAACAGTATTGTCACCATTACGTTACATGTTGAGCATACATGGCAATGGTGGGAACTAAAACTGATTAATCCAAATCATGAAGAGATTTTGCATTAAGCTACAGGTTCCTAGCAGGTTCAGTTGACTTAATGGAAGGTAGCGAACAGGTTATATGAATGCATAGTTAACAGCGCACACAAGAAATAGTAATTCGAAACTATCATTTGGTTTATTTGGCCAATATATCATGTCCTTATCATTTGTAAATTTGCAAAATTAATAATCCAGTGCATGGTAATTGCAGTATCACAGAAAATGTCAAATCCTTCTTTCCAGTAGACATTACATCTGTGTTTAATATAGTATGCACCCTCTATCTATCCTTTCGTTCTAACAATTCAAATCATTGATTGTCGCCAGATATCAATTATCTTACTTCACACATACCAGAACAAATGGATGGCATGATTCCATCATGTTCAACCACAGGTTTGATTAGTTTTATTCCCCTTTTGGTTAGACATCACTTGATTATATTGGTTATTGGTTATCTCTGCAGATGTTGTTACAGAAAATGCTGAGGCACGGTATAGGAATCTAAGCTTTTGTTTTGACGGACCTTGTGACACTGGCAGTGAAGTTAGTATAGATGAGTATGATAATGGTGAGGGTTAATAACATATTATCAATATTAAATTTGGAAATTCAGTAATCTTATTTTTCCCCTTCTCCTGAACAGTATAACTCCAAGAATAATGGGTAGAAAAAGTTTTGTTTGACATATATGCTCGAGTTAAATAGGAACTCCTTTATGTTATTATTGAATGAAGTCAAAATATCATCCAATCAATGTTGCACTGGGACACTAAGTATGATACATGTTGGTATAAATCAACACACATGCTTTTTAGGTGACCAAACTTCAAATACTTTTACATTTATTGAACCTGACCATACATCTATGAAGGCGCACAGTGCTGAAGCTACACATAGCCAAGGTTAGACATGCTGAATTCTTTCCTAAATATTGTTTTCTGCATAGTAGCATAATACAATCGTAGGTGATCAACCTCTGAAACAATCATTGGAATGAGAAATTCTCCAATTATTGAGTTCTTATTCATGTTTTCCCATTTACATGTTTCTTCCACAAGTCACAGCATTGATGAAGTTGACTTAGAAAGCTACCAACTAATTAGATAAATGATCTTGCTGCACATAGACATGAGTTCAATAAAAACTCCCTTATCTTATTATTGAATTAAGTATAAATATCATCCACTCAATGTTGCACTTGCACACTAGGTATAATACATGTTGGTATAAATTAACATATGTGCTTTTCAGGTGATCAAACTTCAAATGCCTTAACATTCATTGAACCTGACCATACATCTGTGAAGGCGCACAATGGTCAAGCCACACATAGCCAAGGTTAGACATGCTGAATTCTTTCTAATATATTGTGTTTTACATAGTAGCATAATATAATCATAGCTGATCAACCTCTGAAACAATCATTGGAATCAGAAATCCTCCAATTATTGAGTTCTTATTCATATTTTCCCATTTACATGTTTCTTCCACAAGTCACAGCATTGATGAAGTTGACTTAGAAAGCTATCAACTAATCAGATAAATGATCTTGCTGTACATGGACATGAGTTCAATAAAAACTCCCTTATCTTATTATTGAATTAAGTATAAATATCATCCACTCAACGTTGCACTTGCACACTAGGTATAATACATGTTGGTATAAATTAACATATGTGCTTTTCAGGTGATCAAACTTCAAATACCTTAACATTCATTGAACCTGACCATACATCTATGAAGGCGCACAATGGTAAAGCCACACAAGGTTAGACATGCTGAATTCTTTTGATATATTGTCTTTTACATAGTAGCATAATATAATCATAGCTGATCAACCTGTGAAACAATTATTGGAATGGAAATTCTCCAATTATTGAGTTCTTATTCAAATTTTCCCATTTACATGTTCCTTACGCAAGTCACAGCATTGATGAAGTAGACTTAGAAAGATGTGAACTAATCAGATAAATGATCTTCCTGCACATGATCATGAAAGGTCATACTTGGCCCTCTTTAGGAAACAAGTAATTGCCAGAAATTGAGTTGAGAAGGATATGAAATTCTGAAATGTATGCGGTGTCATATATTATACCTGATTTTTTTTCTCCTTCGCATCAGTGCATGGGTTCAATTTCTGTTCATTAAGGATATACGGTTGTTGTAGTTGCAGGATACGTTGATATAGGGGATCCTACATTTAAATGCCAAAGATGTGGTGCACTAATGTGGTTCAATGAGAAAGTTGGATCAAACAAGTATGCTAGAAACCCATCATTCTCAATGTGCTGTCTTAAAGGAAAAGTTCAGCTTCCTCCTCTAGCACCTCCTCCAGATCAGTTTGTAAGATTATTTTTTGACGAGAAGACACCATCTTCAAGAAACTTCCTCACAAACATAAGAACTTATAACAATATGTTCTCCTTTACTTCTATGGGTGGTAAAATTGATTACTCAAAGAACTCTGGTGGTGGTCCCTATTCATTTGTTTTGTCTGGCATTAACTACCATAGGATTGGAAGTTTATTACCTCCTAAAGGATCAAAGCTTGTTTACTCCCAACTGTACATATATGATACTGACAATGAAGTATGCAACCGTATATCTGCTGTAAGGTAATTTTTTGGTTAAGAAGGTTACTTCTTGCTGATTTGCATTTTTTCTTTAGTATCATTAGTTATATTAACAGATAATTCAATCTGTTCATGCAGCAAGCATATGAAAGAATCAGCCATTGATAATAATATTGTTGATCATATCAAGAAAACCCTTGATGATGCCAACCCTTTTGTAAAACAATATCGAGCAGCATCATCAATGATCAAGAATGACCAAAACACTGATGTGAAAATTTGTTTGATCAGTACAAGAACGAAGGATGGGCGGAATTACAATTTGCCGTCTACTTCAGAGGTTGCTGCTTTAATTGTTGGTGACATTGATATGAATTTCGGTAGAAGAGATGTTATAGTTCACAAGTTGTCAGGCTTGCCACAACGTATTGATGAATTGCATCCTTCCTATCTTCCACTCCAATACCCAATATTGTTTCCTAGAGGTGAGGATGGTTATCGTGACAATATAGAACATCGTGAAGAGACTCTTTCTAATACTAAGAAGAAAAAGCGGGTTAGTATTAGAGAGTATTTTGCATATAGGTTGATGATGAGGGAAAATGAGATGTCAACCATACTTCATGCAGAGAAGTTATTCCAGCAATTCATAGTTGATGGTTATACCATGATAGAAGCTCAAAGGTTATTATGGGTCAGAACGCACCAGAAGGAACTTAGGGCAGATTTGTATCAGGGATTGACAGATGCGCTATTAACTGGAGAAAGAAGTGCATCGTCCACAGGGAAGCGTATAATTCTTCCATCTTCCTTCACTGGAGGGGCACGATATATGGTTGGCAACTATAAAGATGCAATGGCTATTTGTAGATGGGCAGGTTACCCGAGTATTTTCATTACATTTACATGTAATCCAGCTTGGCAAGAGGTCACACGATTGATGGAAAATGAATCATTATCTAGTGCTAACAGGCGGAGATATTGTGTAGGGTTTTCCATATAAAGCTTAAGGCTCTTATGGATACAATCAAGAAGAAGAAGATATTTGGTACTGTTATTGTAGGTGAGTCAAATTTTTGATCTCTTCTTATGATAATGTCAAGATACTTTAATGATCTATTGCTTATTGCTTACTCATTTATTATTCATGCAGACGTTCATACGATTGAATTCCAAAAAAGAGGACTTCCACATGCACACATTTTGTTGTTCCTAGATCAACGTGATCAACCTAAATATCCGGAGGATGTGGATAGGGTAATCTCTGCAGAAATACCTAACTTGGATGAAGAACCACAATTGTATGACTTAGTTAAGAGGTTCATGATACATGGCCCATGTGGTCGTTCAAACCCTAAGTCCCCTTGCATGAAGGATAATAAGTATAGCAAGTATTTCTCCAAGAACTTTGTGGAATGATGATGGATATCCTACATATAGGAGGAGAGATGATGGGAGGACAATTGAAGTCAAAGGCATTCCTCTGGATAACCGGTTTATTGTGCCTTATAACCCCACATTGTTATCTATGTTTGAAGCTCATATTAATGTTGAGAAGTGTAACTAGTCATCTGTAATCAAGTACTTATTCAAGTATATTAGTAAGGGAAATGATAGAGTTGTGGCATCTATTTATGAGAGCGCTGGGGACGGATCTTCAGGCCGGCCGATTGATGAGATTCAACAGTATTACAACTTTAGGTATATCTCAGCTTGTGAGGCAGCTTGGCGCATATTTGCCTTTGATATACACACAGGTATCTGGCTGTTGAAAGGTTAAGCTTCCATTTACCTAACCAACAATGTGTTGTTTATTCTAATGCTGATGATATTGAGGACCTACTTAATAAGCGCCGTGTCTGTGAGTCAATGTTCCTTGCTTGGATGAAAATGAATCATGATAATGATTTAGCTAAAACTCTTACTTATTCTGAGTTTCCACAATATTTTGTCTACCAAAGAAGCAAACGATGTTGGAAAATTAGACAGAAGGGATTTGCCATAGGAAGGATTACTCATGTGTCTCCTTCATCTGGTGAACTTTACTATCTACGAATCCTCTTAACTAAGGTTAGAGGTCCTTCATCATTTGAAGAGATTAGAACAATGGATGGTGTTGTGCATTCCACTTTTAGAGCTGCGTGCTTTGCTCTTGGATTATTACACGATGATAGTGAATATAAATGCCATTAAGGAGGCGTCAGTTTGGGCATCTGGGAGATCATTACGAAAGATGTTTGTTAGCATGCTTCTTTGTTCGTCACTAAGCCGTCCTGATTTTGTTTGGAACCAAACTTCAAAAATATTGTCTGAAGATTTATTATACATACCACACAAAGATCCTTTATCATCAAGTAAGACCTATATTCATCTCAACAATACTTGCCATATTTTCATAAAATTAGTAGGCATGAATGATTTGTTTTTGTACTAATTGTCCTTCCTTTCAATTTACATATTCTTACTTATCACTTTAGTGATATTTATGCAGGGGTACATATATCTATAAGTGAGAAGGAAGAAGCTGCCTTGAAAGAAATCGAATCATTGTTGCAAGAGAATGGGAAGACCTTGAATGACTTCCTATGCTTCCAAAACCAGCATCATTTAGTCCACTTGATATCAGCAATCATCTCATTTTGCAAGAGCTTGGTTATGACCGAACATCCATGAAAGAAGAATGGAACACTTTGATCAACTCATTAAATTTAGAGCAGAAACATATTTTTGACTCTATCATATCCTCTTTGAATTCAAATGTTGGTTCATTCTTCTTTGTCTATGGTTATGGCGGAACAGGGAAGACATTTCTGTGGAATGCTTTGGCCTCTACTCTTCGAGCTAGAGGCGATATTGTTATTACTGTTGCCTCCAGTGGCATTGCTGCCACATTATTACCATTTGGAAGAACGGCACATTCCAGGTTTGCGATCCCTATACAAGTTAATGAAGACTCTGTTTGCAATATCACACAAAATTCTGCCTGAGCTAATTTGATTGTACAAATAAAGTTAATTATATGGGATGAGGCTCCCATGGTGCAACGTTATTGGATCGAAGCATTTGATCGTACATTGAGAGATATTATGCATGCTAATTTCCCATTCGGTGGGAAGTCAATTGTGATGGGTGGTGACTTCCGTCAAATACTCCCTATCATACCTAAAGGTTCCAGAACTGACATAGTAAATGCATGCGTGACTTCTTCATATCTTTGGGACTATTGCAACATTTTTACGTTGACGAAAAACATGCGCTTATCATTTCTTCGATCGAAGAACAAAAGGACTTGCAAAATTTCTCAAAGTGGCTTTTAGATGTGGGAGATGGTAATCTTGGTATGCCTCACGATGGCATAGCTGAAATTGAAATCCCTGATGATCTTTTAATCACTAATTATGATGATCCTGTTAGTGCCATTGTATCTGCCACTTACCCTGATCTTTTGCAGAATTTATCAAGTTTTGATTATTTCAATGACAGGGCTATCCTTGCACCCACAATTGAGGTCGTAAACCAAGTAAATGATTATATGTGTTCTCTTTTGCCTGGCGAACATGTTGAGTACTTGAGTTGTGATTCTGTTTGCAAATCATTCAATGATAATGATTGCTTTGAAGATTTGTACACGATTGACTTCTTAAACACTATCAATAGTTCTAGCATGCCATTGCATAAATTGTCCTTGAAAGTAGGAACACTGGTGATGCTGCTTAGAAACATTGACGAAGCATCAGGGCTGTGTAATGGAACTAGGTTGCGTGTAACAAAACTTGGCAAGACTGTCATTGAAGCAGTAACATTGAATGGTTCTAAACCCAACCAGAAAGTGTTGATCCATCGCATGGACATGAATCCCTTTGAAAGTCATTTGCCTTTTCGAATGACAAGGAGACAGTTCCCAATCACTTTGTCATTTGCAATGACAATAAATAAGAGTCAAGGGCAATTGTTACGTTATGTGGGATTATATCTACCGAAACCTGTATTCTCACATGATCAGTTATACGTTGCCCTATCCAGGGTTAGGAGTATGGGTGGTCTGAAGATTCTTGTACACAATGATGTTTCTAGTGCGAGTAACTTCACTACGAATGTAGTCTTCAGGGAGGTTTTTCGAAATGTGGATCCAAGCATGCAGATTTAAAATTAACTGAGGTGGCAATCTTATTTGTGGTTCATATTCATGTTGAATTTATCATCATTTGTAAACGGTATATTTTTATTGTACATGCTTTAGCTATCTCCTTACATGTACCGTCCATGATTGAACTCTGTTTTTCATTGTTATTGTAGCCACTACCAGCATCTCTTTGTCAACTAGCTACTCTGTGTTCATGCATTGCTGTCATAAAAATGTCCGATAGTGACTATTTCACGTTATGCACTTTGGTAGAATTCATTTTGTTGCCAGGTTATGTCTTAGTTGCTTCTTCTAGGGAAAGAAGGATTGACGAATTTTTTTAAAACTAATAATGTTGTTTAACTTGGCAATTGCTATTGATGAATACTATAATACAATGATATTGCGTCTTGGATTATTTATTATGGTTTGAGTGAATGGGAAGTGTTAAATGAAATATAATTCTTTTTGTGGCTACTATTTATGAGTTGAGGTTTGTATCAGGTTTGATGAAAGGGAGGAAACCGGTTCTTCAATTGGCAACCTTGGATTCATATGTTTTTGCCGAGAATTTTGGAATGATTTGTTTGAGTGTCATTCTCTAAGCATTGGTTGTAATGGTCTTCAATTAAGAGTTGAGTGGTAGAGATTCTAATGTGTTTTGAGAATTTATTTAATTGAAGTTAATTAGTCCCGCGCAATGCGTGGGGGAGATGATGCTAGCGTCAGATAAGACTTCACATGGTTTTTTCCCTATTATTATAAAACCCATTATTATTCAATATACCAAGGGCAATTGTGGAAAAAAGTTTTAATCTCAGACATAATCAATGGCCCAACTGTCATGTATTGGTATGCGGAAATTGGTTAAAAGAGATCAATAAAAAGGACCAGAGTGGTATGCTCCATATTACTATTCACATGAACAGTAGTGGCTTAATTTAGCATTTGGACTCACGTGTTGGGTTCCATGCTAAAATCCTGTCTCGAAAGTAGAAGAGGGTAAACCAGCTTTATGACCGAAGAGCGTGCATACTGATTTTAATCTTTTCCCTATTCGAATTCCATGGTTTTAATGATGTTGATCAGATCATTGCGGGCATTTTTTTTTTCCCTTCCAACTGTACCAAAGTATTGAAACGGCAACAATTTCAGAAATGGCAGCAATTTTCATGTTCGTCTCTTTACTTTGTTTTTGTTTTTTAGGTTGAGGCATGTCCTATGGCTTACCTTTCGCTAAGTTTTTTTGCCATAAAACTATAGTTTTAGCATTCCACAAAGTTTTAGTCGTGTTTAAAAATAAGATGATTTTTTTCAACTATAGATAAAACTGTACTGAAAAAATAAATTGACATTTATATTCAACTTGGGTTTGCTAAATTTCCAATCAAATACTTCATGTCATTCTATTTCATATTGATATGTAATACTAAATGGTTCATTCTAAAAGTAGTTTTCACATCCATATAAATTATATTGAATTGATTTGTTAGAATCGCTATAATAAAAAGAAACTGCTGATTACACTTGAGTAAATCATCGCAGCATCATTATTTGTTTATAAATTATAATATTGTTTTGCTGCCACTATAGAGTGATAAAGGTTTCATAATAAAGTAAATTTTACTCATGCATTGCACGGGGAAGTCAATGCTAATTTGTATTAATATGTAAAACCTTTTATGTAATATCATTTTGAATGTCTTTTTCTTAAAAAATAATTTACAGAAATTAATTAAATTAATTATTTATATAAAAATATGTTTTGATTTTTTTAAAATAATTCCCAATCCTTTTTTGACCGATCATAAAAGAAATTAACTATCCCCTTTGTCTCCAAGCCTTCAAAAATTAATGAGGATGCACAAGGCCAATCATAGTTAAGGTCACGATTGGTAGGTGGGATTCATTTTTGATGGAATGGTAATGGGATTGGGAATGAGACTTTTATTTTATGTTTGGAAGGAATACTTGTATTTATTTTATTTTATAATAAGATATACATAATTAAAAGACTATAATACTCCTTTGTGTTTTTGGGACTCCAACCTTGTGCAGCCCTATGAATGTGAAACAGCAGAATCATCTACACACATATATATTTTTTCAAAAAAGTACATTAAATTTTGCCTGATTTTAAAATTAAAAATAAATAAAAATAGATAATATATTTTAAAAATCAGAAATGGATAGTTGGGAATAATAATTAATGTTGCTGTAAATGAAAAGCCTTAAGGTACGAAATACGAATAAAAAAAAATTGCATAGATTCATCATCCTCAATATATATAATGAGGCAAATTGAAACCCTTTTCAAAAAATTGCAAATTAATTAACTAACATATAAGCAACATTAACAGTAGATAATAGAAAACAGAAATAACGGTAAACTAGAGCTAAACTTACATATTCTAAATCAAAAATCTAAATAGGGGCATTTTTGTCTTTTGAGTTTTTTAATCCTAGGATTTAAAAGCCATTACCATGGGGGAGGTGGGATTGTATAATCCCACATATGTGGTATTGTTCAATCCTTGGTAATCCTCAATACCTCACACCAAACATCACAATTTGATCCATCCCCTCCCCTTAATTCCACTTACCAAACGTGACCTAAGATCCCTTGCACTCAATTAAAGGCAAATGGTCCCTTAATTCCTATACTTGGAGAAAAAATTTATAAATTAAAGACAAAGTAAATTAAAATCTTATATCTAATATGAAAGCAAATCATTTAACTAATTTTTATATTTAGAGCCGCCAGAATTAATAATTTTTGTTTACACATGTTTTCTCTCTTTTTAATATTTCTTTGTTTACTATCCACCCCAACCTAAAGTTATTATCATATTCTTATATTCATTAAGCAAAAAGTATACATTTAATCTTTTAATTTTATATAATATTTTATTTTAACCCTTTAATTTTATAAAATATTTTTTCCAATTTTGACTCTTGCATTATTAAAAGAATGTAAATATAGAAATTTTAAATGTCACAAAATATTTTCAAATGCTCATATATTAAATTTATTTTAAAAAATTAATAATTGTTAAGAAAACATTATTTGATATTAACAGTGTTCGGTTAGAAGAATATAAAAATATTTTATAAAGTTAAGGAATTAAACTAAAATCTTATGTAAAATTATACCTTCGAAGATGTATTTCTATTTTATTCCTCGTTCTAATAAATTTCTAAATTATATTTTTTACAATTATATCAATTTCCTTTAGTTAAGATAAACATCAAATATTAGATTAAAAATCTAACTAATTTTTTAATATATATATATATATACTTGAGTAAATATGTTGATAAATGTTTGTAACGAAGATCTGTTTAAAAGTTTTGAATTATAAATTTAAATAAATTTTTAGAATTTTTTTCAGCTCTCTTGGCTCCCAGTCAATTTTAAAGCTACAAGAATCCACAGAACCTCAACAGAAGTGGGTCCAACAATAAGCGCGCACACATTATAGTGCCGATTTTTCTTTGTTGGTGAACTTGAAATGACAGTGGTAAAGATTAAGGCAGTAACGAAGCATAACTTGCATATGTACAGCCTAATACTGTTGGCAGTTCTAGGAATAATAAATAATTATTAAGTTGTGAAGGTTAAATAGGGATACATTGAACTTGAAATATGTTTTTACAATTTGAAAAAATCAAAGTAAATAATTTCCAATGAATGTGATAAAATATATAAATTATAAAATTTATGATTTAGACCAAAATAAATAAATTTTATAACATATTAGAAATTTTAAAAATAATAATTATTTTATAAAAACCGTTTTTAGGAAAAATAGATGTCTAAATAATTATTAGGTTAAAAAGGGATATTTTGGCCAAAAAAATTTT